CCAAACTCAATCCACGTATCCTTTATACGTATAAAAACAGACACGAACCTTTCCATTGACGAAGAGGCAAGTCTAGTTTAAGTCTACCCCCAAGAATGCCAAATTGATTGCTTAATTGATACAAAATCAGTTCGACAAAAACAAAAGAGGTACAAAACCAAATAAATTTTGGGTTTTCTACGAAGAGATCTAACTAAAAGTCAAGTTCGAAACAAGCTGTCTACCGAATCCTATTATCAATAAGTTACACCCTCGGGTTTATGTCGATTTGACTCGTTAATGTTATAGATTCATGTCGTGTTAGTTAAATTTTGAATTGATAATGTGAGAACTAATGAAAAAATTAGGGACAAATATGATTTTTGGTTTAATACCGGTTTGATTTTTTGGTTTATGAAATAGGAAGACAAATATTATTTGCTTTCATTTCAGTTTCAAAATTTCATAATCAATTTAAAACTTTATTCAAACAAATTAATTGATTTTCTTCTTTCAAATTTTGTTTTTTACTTGGGTGTCACATAGGATTTATTCGAACAAATCAAATATACCGAAACCGCGTTTAATTTTTTGGATCCTGTTTCCAAATGGCTTTTATTTGTATGGTTTTACATTCGCCAGATATTAACTTAAACCATAGATTATACATCATATATGTACATCGGCAATAAGCCAATAACCTTGTGATGTTTTGTAATATACTAATAAGTAGTACGTAGCATAAACAAATTCAAAAGTACATGGGATGTTATAGAATATGTTACGCTGAATATATAATACAGTTGGTTGACGAGCAATTCGAATCTCCAACCCTTGGGAACAAGAAAGGAGAAAGCAAAGTTAACGTGTCACATTTTATTTGACATCACCAAAAAAGTGGAGCTTGAATATATTAAATTTTACCATTATGATTGTAGTTCCAACAATTATATAGGGACGATCGATAAGTTTGTCGATGTTATTAATTTAAATTTAATTTGGAAAAAGTGAACCACCTTATGATTAAAAAGAGCGTACTCTATTTGTTATTATAAGTTTGTGATGTGAGCATTCACTTCCTCCCACCTTCCACTATACTCGACTACTGGAGTGGGGGCAAAAGCCAAAACGAACAAAAAGGCGAAGTTTTTAATTAATATACAATCTTCGTGTTTATCTTATGTTAATCCATGTGGCTAATAAGCTAGTTTGGATTTAATAATGCTTTTAATCTCAAAGGACATGGGCTAGTAAAACTCTCTAACCGGCCCAACTAATTACGTCTACTCTCTTAACTCAGAGAGTACGATTTTGTGTATATATTTCCAAGAGATCAACAGATACACAAAGAAACCCAAAGGAT